AGCTTGTTCTGATTTCCAATGACCTGGGACAGTCCAAAGTTTGGGGGCCTGGGAGGAGTAAAACTTAACTAAGGTCTCATTAAGTTAAGCAGCACTGGCTGGGTGTGGCAGCTCACGCCTATAAACTCAGCACTTTGGAAGCAAAAGGTGGAAGGATTCCCAGAGGCCAGGAGTTTGAGACCAGCCTAGGCTAGAACAAGACCTGGCCTCTACAAAAAAATACAAAAATTACCTAGTGTGGTAGTGTGAGCCTGTAGTCGCAGGTATTCTGGACGCTAAGGCAGGAAGATTACTTGAGCACAGGAGGTGGAGGATGCAGTGAGCTATGGTGATGGCACCGTACTCTAGCCAGGGTGACAGAGCAAAACACTGGCTCAAAAAACAAACACAAAACCCCAGCATTGTTCTTATTGATCATTCGGGACAAACAATTAAGGAATCCTTAATAAGACAAAGAATGGGAATATAGCTTTCTCCTATGTAAATAAGAGACTTAATAAAGTGCTATGGGGCAGGTGTGGCTCATGCCTATAATCCTAGAACCCTAAGAGGCTGAGGCAGGACAATTGCTTGAGTTCAGGAGTTCCACTGCAGCCTGAGCAAGGGCAAGACCCAGTCTCTGAAAAAGTAGAAAAATTAGGTGGGCATGGTTGTGTGCACCTGTAGTCCCAGCTACTAGGCAGCCTGATGATGCAGGAGGATCACCTGCCCCCAGGAGCTTCAGTCTGCAGTGAGCTGTGCTGATGCCCTGCACTCTAGCCCAGGCCACAGAGTAACACACTGTCTGAAAAAAAAAAGTAGACATGGCACCACAAGTATCAGTCATTATAGAAAAAAAAAATCTATAAACTGGATTTTACCAAATTTAAAACTTTGGTATGTGAAATAATTTGTTAAGATGGTAAAAGAAAAACCAACAAATACAAAATATTTGTCTGCCATACAACTGAGAAAACAACTGGTATGTGTAATACATACAGAATTCTAGAATGACTTTACAAAAACCAAATTAATCAAATTAAAAAATGGACAAAACTATGAAGACACTTGTTATTGAAGCAGCTATACAGAGAGCAAAGAGTCACATGTAAAGACTTCCAACATCACTACCCAAGTGTGAGACCTCAGCATTTTTTGCTTTCTCCTTTGAAGCCCTGGTTGCCTTTGGAGATGATGGAAAAGGAAGAACTCCCACCAAATGCTCCAAGGTGTGTTTGCTGGTGCATATTAGGAGCCTGCAATTGCTTCTAAGAATTGACAGTGGGAACACAGGTTTTCAAAACAGTCAGTTCAGGAAATATACACTCTCATTGACACTACTGGTAAATTATTCCTTGCACTTCAATGAGCTGATATTTAAGAATCACAAATAGGTCAAGGACTGGATACCTCCCCTGAAAGATTGGATAGTCTTTCCTACATGATTATGTGGTAATGACTGTTTCTCCAACTAGCTTAAGCATAATTCATAGAAACTACTGACCTATAAAATAAAAGTACAAGGGGCAGGCAAGGTGGTATGCACCTGTAGTCCCAGCCACCTGGGAGGCTGAGGTGAAACGATCACTTGAGCTGAGGCATTTAAGGTGGCAGTGAGCTATGATCAGGCCACTGCACTTCAGTCTGGGTAACAGCCTGAGACCGTGTCTAAAAATAATTTAAAAATTATAGTGTATACGTAATACAAAGTAATCAGAATCACAATAATGTATAAGGATAACCCCCTTAAAAATGCAACAGATACTAACCAAGTAAGTATAGATGTTGAGTAGTTGAAGGACATAAATTACTAGCACTGTTATTTTTATATCACAATTCAGACTGGTCTCTGTAGCCAGACATGAATTCAAATCCTGACTCAGTCACTGGGATGTGACTAGGTGAGTCTCGTTTTTAAGAGACAGAGTGTCACTCTGTTGCCCAGGCTGTAGTGCAGCAGCATGATCAGAGCTGACTGTAGCCTCCGACTCTTGGGCTCAAGTGATCCTGCCTCAGCCTCCCAATTAGCTAGGACTACAGGCTAGTGTTTTTATTTTTTGTAGAGATGAGGTCTCACTATGTTGCCCACATTTGGGTGCTTCTTTAACCTGCTAATGTCCTAGGTTTCCTCTTTGCTGAAGTAAGAATATCATCAATACTTATTGCAGAAATAAGATTTTAGCTGTTATTAGACATAAAACATTAATAACAGTGATTCTTACTCTGTGATTAAGGTAAAGGAAAATACACATGCAAAAATAAGAAATCACTTATAATGAAAATATATTAAGCATTTTTAGAAGGGAACAAATCAAAGGGGAAAATACTAGGTGTTGCTTTCCTTGGCAATATTTGCACAAACATCATGTTTTCCTGCAAGATCCTCTGGCTGGGAACAGGAGTATCAGGCAGCAGGAAGTGGTAGAATAGCCTCCAGATATTTGCCAATGGAGATTCTCTTTTTCTCATAAATTATCGTTGTATTTTAAGATATTGTCCACATGCTGACAGGCCTCCACACATTTGATTTCCAAGCAACTAATCCTACACAACATCCATATTAAGAGACTTCATTTCAGCATCTGTATCACCCTAGCATTTTCACTGAAGTAAGGACTCACAGGGTCAATTGTTTTTATATTTATACAGAACCTAGTTGTACCTGCCATTGTTTTATGTGCTTTTTCATTTCACAAAATTTAATCTCGAAACAACACACTAATTTATGCGCCCCCTACATTTTTCACTGGAGTAACACAAGGAAGAAATGTATTAAATTTATAGTCTGTATTACAATTCAAGGAAGGAAAAAATCTCCAGTAAAAATCATATACAAAAAGTAATTTTATCACAATTAAAAATAGACCATAGGCCAGGTGCAGTGTCTCACACCTGTAATCCTAGCACTCTAGGAGGCCAAGGTGGATGAATCACTCAAGGTTGGGAGTTTGAAACCAGCCTGAGCAAGAGCAAGACCCTGTCTCTACTATAAATAGAAACAAAATTAATTGGCCCACTAAATATATATATAGAAAAAATTACTAGGGCATGGTGGCATATACCTGTAGTCCCAGCTACTCGGGAGGCTGAGGCAGAAGGATTGCTTGAGCCAGGAGATTGAGGTTGCTGTGAGCTAGGCTGATGCCACGGCACTCTAGTCCGGGCAACAGAGTAAGACTTTTTCTCACACAAGCGCGCACACACACACACACACACACACAAAATAGACCATAGGATACATTGTTCAGTAGCATAAACTGAAAACATGTCCACAGCCTTTGGAAAAACACTCACATGGTGGCCTGGCTACTCAGAAGCCTAGGCAGAAGGACTGGTTGAGTCCAGGAGTTTGAGGATTCAGTGAAGTATGATCACAGCCCTGCACTGCAGCCTGGGAAACAAAGGAAGACTCCATCTTTCTTTTTATTAAACAACTCTTATAGTAAAATGGCTTAGTTCCATTTATTATATAATAAACATTTCCACACATTGATTTTAATTGAACTAGTGTAACAATATCTTAGGCAATTTAGCTAAATGGGATTCAGAAACATTTGAAGAAGAATGTTGTATAATGAGACCTATAAGCGCACCAGAGAAAGAAATGTAGTAAGCGATTACTACGAAGAATATTTGGGTCTTCCTAATTTTCTGAATCAAGAATTCAGGAGTTTCAAGCGTAAACATTCGGTGTCGTATTGCACAGTGAGTGTCTATTATGAAGTTAGACTGCTGACACTACTGACCTCAGCACTCCCTCTTCCTGTTCGTTCCAACCTGTCCAGCTGATAGCTCCTGGGCACCCACTCCTTTGGCCCAGATGGAAGTTCAAAACATGGGGATTAGGGGGGTACCCCCACCCAACCCCACCATTTAAGAATCATTATAATCCAAGCTAATTACTTATAACTGTTTTCTATTTTTAGACCAGTCTTGGAAGTCTACCCATCTTTCCCCAGGAAGCCATGTTATGTAAAACACTTCAGTGTTTGGCGTCGTCATTCTTGATATTTAAACCAAGCACTAGGTGGGGTTCAATTTAGTTCCAGGGAGTCGTCAAAAATTAAAATTACCAAAAATACTAAAAAGGTAAATTATAAATCTTTAGTTTATCAAAATGAAACAATATTCTCATTGTGTATTTTCATTCTTAAAAGGAATTTCATGAAATTAATCTTTCCAAATGACATCACTGAGCATTCTTATGATGAAAAAGATATTTTTATCATTATACCCAAAACTTTGTTTTATTTCCTTATATTTTTCATATTCTTACTATATTTGTATTTTCACTTTATATAAATCCAGATGCATGCCATGGGCCTTATTTGGCATGCAAAAAAGAGGCAAGTGGAAATATAATACAGTGCATGTTCACCAACAGTGATGCAGCTTTTGGGGTTGAAGAGTCTTAAATTGCACATCTTTGGGATTGTCATTATACCTGCATCAGTATCATACTTAAGACATTGTGTGGAGACAATAACTTAAGTTCAATGTATGATTCTAGCTTCTCAAAATTATATAATGTTGGATTCCACCAGGAAAAAAATTGTTCTAGATCCTTCCATATTAAGAACCTAATGGTGCATTGTTATTTTCTATTGTGACGTGTCCTACTGAGGTAGGATAAAACTATGTTGGGAAAGAATGTGATGAATATATCGGTATCGAATAATAATAAATTTTATACAACATTAGATCTCCAATATATTCTGAAACAAGCAGCAGCAAGTTCTAATCTCAGCAGTTAGATGTGAATCCCACTCAAAGAACGCTACACTGTTTCTTTTAATTAAACTTTCCACCCTGATAACTGTTCTTAATTTTCAAAAGAAAACTAATTTCTAATAAATCTTTGCTATGCAGTAGCTATTGCCATTCAATGGCAAAGTTGGCTACCATTTCCCCAGCATTATTTCTGGCATATAATCAGTCCTCAATAACCTACTTCTCTTCCTACAGAAACCCTAGTGTTTTAAGGTCTTGATGTGCTCTGTATTATGGTCACTTGACTGAGCTTTGTCTCCTTTAACCTACAGTGCCCTCCTGTCAGGAGAAGAGAACCCTGAACACCATGAGCAAGGTAAGTGACATCATACTTTAATGTTATTCTCTGCCCCTCCCAAATATTCATTCAGATCACATGTAATATTCAAAGGCAGCATTCTTCTTCTCACAGGACCACTGACACATGTGATCCTCACCCTTAAAGCAGGCCCTGCCATGCAGTGGATTCTTCTGCACAGACCACAATGAAAGGCTTGTGAAAAAGGCATAATAGTAAGATTTCAAAGTTCAAGTTGAAAGTTATGAATAGTGGCCTTTTCAAGAATCCTGAAATAAATGTATAAAATATTTTGTAACTTCAAGGTAAATGACCATCTCCAAACATCCTGACACCTTTGATATATATATATCATGCTGTAAGTTTTAACATATTTGGACTTAGAATTATTTTCCAGTGTGTAATATCAAAGGTTAATCATGGAGAATTAGAGATCCAGTCATTCCTCATATAAATCCGCACACGCATTTATGGCACCTGGGTAATAACCTCAACTTACACGTTACATTTGTTTGCTTTTATCAAAGATATGTATTTTGATGCACAGTGGCTTGTGAGGCACGAAAAAAGCCTCTTCCAAATACAATCACATGATTGTTCTTTGGCGTGGGCTCTCCAATGTTAATGCTTGAACTCATGAGGGGTTTGCCATAGTCTGCATTGGTAAGGATTCTCTTAAGAATGAATACTCTAATGTCATGCAAGGAGTGAATTGTGACTGAAGACCTTGCCACACTCATTCATACGGTTTCTTTCAAGTATTAATTCTGTGATGCCTTGCAAGCTTTGATCGTTCAAGGAAGAGCTTGCCACAGTGATTACATCTGTAGGGTTTCTCTTCAGTATGAATTCTTCGATGATTTGTAAGTTGTGAACATTGAGTGAAAACCTTGCTACATTCATTATCTCTGCTTGATTTTTACTCCAGTATGGATTTCCTGATCAGTAGTTAGGCCTGAACATTGCAATCTAAAGGCTTTCCCACATTGATCACACTTGTTAGGTTTCTCTCCATTATGAATTCTTTGATGACTTGCAAGGTGTGTATTTCGAGTGAAGGCCTTGCCACACTCATTACATTTGTAAGGTTTTTCTCTAGTATGGTGCCAGGAGTTAGCTACTCTCCCAACAAATGGGTGCCAGACAGGATCCTCTGAAGAGATTTGAATATTATAGATAGACAAAGTGTAGTTTACAGTCATGGGAAAGACAGGGATCCTCCAGCATTCCCATGAGCCAGGAGGCACTGAATGAAGTCCCACATCAGTATTAACTGGTACAGGAATAAGTTGTCCCTGGTCATTGAATTATGTGCACAGATTATTCATTTAGGTTTCAAGGCCCACCAAAGGTTTCAAGAGATCCCTTACCTAATTGTATCTCCAAGAGTAAATTCGCTACAAAATTTTTCCAACATAAACATTTTAAGCTCTAAGTTAAGAATACACCTGGCTTAGTACACAAGTTAAAGATAAAATTGTTACTTAAGCAGTAACGCATAAAACAGGAACCCTGAGCCTGCATAGTTCTCTAATCTATCACTTCATATAATGAGACATTTGGTCACGAGTGAAACAGGAACTATCTTTGAGAGTAATTGGTTTTTGCTATAGTAGTCTGCTGGGCAGACATTCTTTGATCAGTCTCTTACCCTTTCACCCCATGCCGAGATCTGCCTTGCACAAGCTCCAGGTTCTGGCTTGCAGACCTCAAGATCAGCACCACCTTGAAGTCACCCATGATCAGTGGAATGCTCCCCTTAATTCTAAGCAGCTTCTGGTTTGTGAACTAATAAGCCCACAGACTTTTCCAAGTCAAAGCCCTGCAAAACTCCTGAAACTTTCCATGACTCTTAACTGTATTTCCCAACAGTATGGATTGCCTCATGCACACTGAGGAATGAACGCAGTCTAAAGGCTTTCCCACACTCATTACACTTGTAAGGTTTCTCTCCACTGTGAATACTCTGATGATTAACAAGATGTGAATTTTGAGTAAAGGACTTCCCACACTCATTACATGTGTAAGGTTTTTCTCCAGTATGGATTGCCTGATGCACAGTTAGTCTATAACGTGTACTAAAGGCTTTGCCACACTCATTACACTGGTAAGGTCTCTCTCCAGTATGACTTCTCCTGTGACGTGCAAGGTGTGCACTTTGAGTGAAGACCTTGCCACACTCATCACATTTGTAAGGTTTCTCTCCAGTATGGATTGCCTGATGAGTAGTTAGGTTTGAACAAACTCTAAAGGCTTTGCCACACTGACAACACTTGTAAGGTTTCTCACCAGTATGAATTCTTCGATGGATTTTAAGGGAGCCATTTTCCCTGAAGAACTTCCCGCATTCGATACATTTATAAGGTTTCTCTCCAGTATGCCCTCTCCTGTGACTTGAAAGCTGTGCATTTTGAGCGAAGGACTTCCCACACTCATTACATTTGTAAGGTTTCTCTCCAGTATGCCTCCTCGTGTGACGTGCAAGGTATGCAATTTGAGTGAAGACTTTGCCACACTCTTTACATTTGTAAGGTTTCTCTCCAGTATGGATTGCCTGATGGATAGCCAGTCTTGAACCTACACTAAAGGCTTTGCCACACTCCTTACATCGGTAAGGTTTCTCTGCAGGATGCCTTCTCCTATGACGTACAAGGTTTGCATTTCGAATGAAGGTCATGCCACATGCACTACATGTGTAAGGTTTTTCTCCAGGCTGCATTCTCCTGTGACGTGCAAGGTGTGCATTTCGAGTGAAGATCTCACTACACTCATTACATTTGTAAGGCTTCTCTCCAGTAAGAATTCTCTGATGACATGCAACATGTAAATTTTCAGTGAACATCTTGCCACATTCATTACATTTGTAAGGTTTTCCACCATTATTTACTGTTTGTCCTTGTGTGAGTGATGAAGAGATCATGAAATCATTCTCATATTTTTTAGAAATGTGGGATTTGACACTAGAAGGGATTTGTGGAAGTGGTGAAGCTGAGGAACCATGGATGGTAGACTTCACTTGATTACATTCATCAACTTTCCTTTTATTTTGAAGTATCTGCAGTTGAGGCACATATGACTTAAAGACTAATCCACGCTGATTTTCAATAAGCTTGTTTCCTGCATCCCTTCTATCATGTTGATCTCTTCTACCTGTGAGGTTTTCTTTCTGGGTCATATGCAATGCTTTGTAACTTCTATCATCATCTCCCCATTGACACTCAAACTCATGTATATTTTTCTGGACTTCTCTAAAGGAAAAATCTTCAATGTCATGGCTTTCAGTTCCTTCCAAGGTCACTGTTTGGAATATTTCTCCTGCACTGGTCTTCCCTTTTGGTGGTATATTTTTTATTGCAAATTCAGGAGAGAGATCTACGAGATATAAATAACTTTAAGTTTCCAATTAATTACAGCATATAAACAAACATTTCACATTGATAAACTTAATATTACACCAAAAGTAATACTGATATTAAACATACTTAGGAAACTTTAGAAAGATAAAATTCAATTTTTAGGAACACAAAAGGAATAGTATTGTTTAATAAATAAAAGGTGATTACATGTGATCACATGTGATCAAATTAATACTGTGGAAGTCTAGTTTCAAACCACCTATAACTAAAACACAATAGGCAAACCTATGTTAGCGCTGAAAGGAGTGACCCCAAGATATATACCAACTGACAAAAAGCATATGGCTATCTCACAACTGAAAGGAAAACAAGTTATATTACATAATACAACTTAAAAACTATCAACTATAAATCATAACAAAAAGTAATTAGTAAAACATTCTAGTAATCCACTATAAATCAAGCAGACAAAGGATTAGCAACCACATGTTTAAAAAGTTACAGTCTGTGGAAATGGGAACAATTTTGTCTTAAGAAAAAAGTAAGGACATCCATTTTAGAACCAGTACAGAGTATAAGAACTGGAATATGAGTTTCTAAAATTTTTATTATATATCAACAAATTATAATTGTATATGTTTGTAGGGAACAAAGTAATATCATAATATACCTATATAATGTGGAATGATGGAATCAAGCTTATAACTGTATCCATCACCACCAAAACTTACTTACTCCTGCTGTTGAATTGAAACTTTGTATCCATTGACAAACCTATTCCTCATCCTCCAGCCTGTAATAACCAACGTTCTACTCCAATTGCATTCCACATATAAATGAAAACATCCAATACTTATATTTCTGTGCCTGGTTCCTTCAGTTAGCAAAAAGCCCTCCACATTCATCCACATGTGGGAAACTGAACTTCCTTCTTTTGAAGGCTGAATTTTCCACTCTGTACATTACACCACATTTTCTAAATCTATCCATCTGGTAATGGACATTTTGTTTGACTATATAAGTTGGCTGTGTGAATAATGCCACAGTAAATACTACGTACAGATATCTTAGACATATGAATTCCAAATTCTTTGGATTTTTATCCAGAAGTGAGACTGTTGGATCATACAGTAATACTATTTTTACCTTTTAGAGGAAACTCCAGTTTTCCATAATGCCTATACTAATTTACATTCCTACCAAGAGTATAGAAGGGTTCCCTTTTCTCCATATCCTCACCAACACTTATCAGCAATAGCCATTATGACAGGTGTGCAGCAGTATCTCATTTTGGTCTAAATTTGTATTTTTGTAATGATTACTAATGTTGAGTCTTTTTAATGTATCTATTCTTCAAATGCATGTAGTCTTTGAAGAAATGTCTATTGAGGTCCTTTGACCATTTTTTAAGTGGGGGTTATTTCTTTTCATCCCAATGGCTTGTTTCAGTTTCTTACACATTTTGGATATTAATTTCCTACCAGATGTACGGCCTGGAAATACTTTCTCATGATGCAAAGTTTCTCTTAATTGTTTCCTTTGCTGTGAAGAAACAGTTTTGTTTGGTGCAATCCTATTCGTGTATATTTGTTTCTGATTCCTGAGCTTTTGGGGTCAAATCTAAAAAAAAAAAGATTGCTCAGTCCACTATCAGATAGGTTTTGCCCTGCGATTTCTTCTAGTAATTGATTTTTACACAAGGGCTGTGGGAAAGTATCCAGCTATTGTTAATACTATGTTTCATATGACATGGCTGGGTACTTTCTGAACAGCCTTTGTACATGATGTGAGATAAGGGATCTGTTTCATTCTTCTGCATGTGGAATCATTTTTGTAGTATTATGTACTGAGAGACTGTCCTTTTTCCCTTGTGTGTTCTTGGCTCTTTTGTCAAAAATAATTGACCATATATGTATTGGTTCATTTCTCTATTCTACTTCAATAATCAATGTGTCTATTTTTAGGCTACTATAATCCTGTTTTAATGACTACACATTTCTAATATAGTTTGAAATTAGGTAGTATGATAACTCTAAGTTTGTTCTTTATGATCAAAATTGCCTTCGATACATGAATTGCTGATTCAATAAATTTCTGAAAAGTTCATTTATAATATATAAAACTGTACAAGATGAAAGCTGCACTGGCTTAAATAAATTATGGTAGGATTAAAATAAGGAGACAGCAAGTAACTTCATAAGCTCCCTCAAAAAGGTATATCACCTCAGACCCCAGGAGACTCCACAGGAGGAGGCTGCGGAGGAGAACTGGAGGCTGAGACCACTGGAGCAGCCCGGAGATCAGCGGCAAGGGTAGGTGGATTTGCTAATTCCCCTCCCCTGCATTTGGGACTGCTGGTGGGCTCCCCAGAGGGTGGAGAGACCTGCGGACACCAGCCCAGAGACGGCTGCCGCCAGCCAGCGGTGAGCCTGTAGCAGACGTGGCACCAGGTCCCCAACTTCCTCCGGGCACCTACGTGTGCACAGATCCGAGCCGCATGGCAGGCACCATATTATCTCCTCCTCCCCTCCGCCGACCCTACCCGCAGCTGCCCAGAGAGACAATACAGCCACCAGCCAGAGGCACCTCCAGGGAACAGGACCTTCTCTTTTGGGACCCTACAGCTGACTCAGGGGAACTCAGACTGTGAGCTCCCTACCCGCCAGTTCTCCCAGGCGCTGCTGGCACGGTGTTCCCAGGGGAACGGTGCCTACTCAGAGGCTGAGAGACATAGACCCAGCTTGGGCTCCCTGTGGGTGAATTAGGACCGGAACTCCTCTCCCTGGTGGGGATACAGTTTGAACTCTGGGACCCAGAGGTCGGACCTGCAGACCAGATCCCCTGCACCAAGGGCTAGCATTGCCCGGGGCACAGAAGGGATATACGTGAACAGCCTACTGAGGTGTGTATGACTCCAGGGGCGGATCAGCATTCTAGAGGCCAACCCTCCTCCCAGAAGGAGGCCGTGCGCCCAACCCAGATGGCGTTCCTGTGCAGGGAACCTCCCTGCCAGCATCACAGTCCGGGAAGGCCTGGTGGCTTGTGGTCTGGCCTGCTGGCAGAGGCCCAGGAGTAGCTGCGGAGTTGGCAAGGATGGAAAGAAGGGAGGCCCACTCCAGACTGCGGGTCTCAGACAGCCCCACCCCCACACTCAGACTTCTTCGCTGAGCTGGACCATTCCAGCCCCGCCCTGACAGCTTTTCCTGGAAAGAGAACAGAACTTTGACACCTGCTAACGGCATTGGTGGTGCCTGAGGGCAGGCTTACCCAACCCAGCTCCGCCCAGAACAACAGCTGATAACAGGACACAAAATCAACAGCATAGCCTGTTCCTCCAAGCAAACGCCACCTACTGACAGGGACGGCATCTTGCACAGCCTTTCCACGGCACCCACTGACTCAATATACAGGAAGTGGTCCAATCTCACCCACAGACACCACCTCACGCCTCAGAAACTAAACAAGGTGTGTGAATACCCAAACAATAACCTAAAGAAAAGAAACAACAACTGATCGACATGGGAAGAAATCAGCGAAAGAACTCAGAAAATAAGAAGAACCAAACGGAAAACACACCCCCAAAGAGGAGCACCAGCCCCCTAGAAACAGACACCAACCAAAACCAGGCAACCAATATGACGGAAGAGGAATTTCGTATGTGGATCATAAGAACACTCACCGAGCTGCAACAACAACTCGATAACCAACACAGAGAAACCACAAAAAGCCTCCAGGATATGGAAAAAGAAATAGACACAATGAAGAAAATTTAAACAAACTCCTGATAATGAAGAATCAATTCAAGGAACTACAAAATACGGTGGAAAGTCTCAAGAACAGGGTAGATCAAACAGAAGAAAGAATCTCAGAGCTTGAAGATAACACACTCCAATTAAATAAATCAGTCACAGAAATAGAGCAGAGAAACAAGAGAAAAGAGCAAAGCCTACAAGAGCTGGTGGATTATGTGAAGAAACCTAATGTGAGGGTCATAGGGTTACAGAAGGGGAAGAAGACAACAGCAAGGGTGGACAAGCTTGTTTGAAGATATATAATACAGGGAAATTTCCAGGCCTTGCTCAAAAATTGATATACAAGTTCAAGAAGTTCAGAGGACCTGGGATAGTCATTGCAAACAGGAAGACATCACGACATGCAGTCATTTCAACTGACAAAATATCAACTAAAGGGCCTTATAAAGCTGTAAGCAAAAGAAGCAAGTAACATACAAGGGAAAGCCAATTCGAATAACATCAGACTTCTCTAATGAGACTTTACAAGCAAGGAGAGACTGGGGCCCCATTCTCACTGTTTTGAAACAAAACAATGCCCAGCCTAGAATATTATTCCCTGCAAAACTAAGCTTCGTTTTTGAAGGAGAAATAAAACATTCTCAGACAAGCAAAGGCTCAGAGAATTCACCAAGACAAGACCAGCCCTACAAGAAGTACTTAAAACAGCGTTATACAGGGAACATGATAATAATAACCCACGGATATAAAAACAACCAAAACCCAAAGATATTAAAGGCCAGATATTACAATGGCTCAAGAAGGAACATACACAACATCAACCAACAGAGATAACAGTAATCGTACCTTCCTATCAGTTCTTCAATACAGTGTGAATGGCGTGGTAACTCTCCAACGCTTCAAGGAGACATAGGCTGGCTGGAGATGATAGAAATATTCAGGCCAAGTCATCATGCTGTTCTTCAGGAAACAATCTAACCTGTCCAAGATTGCAGTACAGACTAAAAATAAAGTGGTGAAGATCAATAATTTCCAAGCCAAATAGAAGCCAAAAGAAGGCTGCTGTGGCAGTTCTAATTTCAGGACGACTTAGAATTTAAACTAACAAAAGTAGTCAAAGACAAAAGTCATATGATGAATGGTGAAAGGGACAGTTCAACAAGAAGAGTGATAAGCAATTTAAATACATATGACCCAATAAGGTGCACCCAGATTCATAAAAGGAAAACCTTACTGGACCTAAGCAGATGGAGTTAATAGGCAA